GGCTGGGTGGGGCTCAGCTCCCCGCCAGGCCCAACCCTGCCAGTCGGGAACAAGTGACTTTGGTCAATTGGATTTCGTAGCCGTTTAGGATTTATTCGTGGCCAGCCGCGGGGTTCGATGGTGCTATTCCAGCAGCACCCAACGCTGGGCCGATTAACGAAGGGATCTGATAGAATGGGTCAGAAGAGCAGCTCCGCGGCAGACGGGGCGGTGGCGACGTTGGCTCTGCCACTGCCTGGAAGACGTGAAGTGAAATGAAGTTACGCTCGAGTTGGGATGATTCACAGCGAGACCGTGGGCACAGGGGACACGGAGGAAGCTCCCGTTGGGTCACTGGGTCCAGAGCAGACCCCCGGCTTTCTAAACTTCTGATAGAGGCATCTACAGCCGGGTCCAGCCTTATTCTCAGGCTTGGCCAATGTTCCTGTCTAAGGATGATGTGTACGTACAGGGCTCGCTTTGTAATTAGTCATAGCATCATTTGGTGGGAAAAGCCCTTTAAGGTCATGGAATCCAACCATAATAATGAAATTAAATCGTACATCTACAAACTACTATGAGGAACTACAGAGCTGTCAGCCTGACCTCGGTACCAGGGAAGGTGATGGAGCCACTCATCCTGAGTGCGCTCACCAGGCATGGGCAGGACAACCAGGGGATCAGGCCCAGCATGGGAAAGGGCAGGTCCTGCCTGACCAACTTGATGTCCTGCTATGACTGTGTGACCTGTCTGGTGGAAGAAGGAAAGGCCATGGATGGTGTCCACCTAGACTTCAGCAAAGGCTGGAACGCTGCCTCCTACAGCATCGCCTGCAGACGCTGCCGGCTCCTGGCTTGGGCGGGCGCGCTCCTCGCTGGGTAACGAACGGGCTGGGTGGCTGAGCCCCGAGAAAAGCAACTGAGTCACCAATGTTGTCTGCTGGGGGGAGGAGGGCTCTGCAGAGGGACCTGGCCAGGCTGGATCCATGGGCCCAGCCCAGTTGGGTGAGGGTCAACAAGGCCAAGGGCCGGGTCCTGCCCTGGGGTCACCACAACCCCAGGCAGCGCTCCAGGCGTGGGGCAGAGGGGCTGGAAAGCTGCCCGGCGGAAAAGGCCCTGGGGGGGGTGGTGGAGAGGGGGCTGGATAGGAGCCAGCAGGGTGCCCAGGTGGCCAAGAGGGCCAGCGGCATCCTGGCTTGTATCAGGAGTGGCGTTGCTCAACGGGTGAGGGTTGCGCCTCAAGGAGGGAAGGGTTCCAGCCCCGGCTCCGCTGTCGCTCTTCGGCGACGGACCTCAGATTTTGGCGAACTTGAAGAGTTTGGGAGCTCTGAGCGGTCCCACTCCGAGGGAGACATTGAGCACAACCCCCTGCAGTCCAGGAGAGCTCTGAGGGCCTTGCTGTGGACACTGGTTTACAGGGTCATGAGATGATTGGCTTTAGTCATCACTAAATTCCCAGTCCCGTCCGGGTCGGTAACCACCGGAA